TGTTTTTCTGTCAATATGGGGTGCTGTGTGTACATTAATGAGGAAAAAATGAACTTAAATGATTTTAGCATATGGCTGCAATATAACAAAGAGTGAAAAATTTAAGGGGGTCTGAATACTTTCCGTACCCACTGTACATAATGCATCAGATTTTAATCTTGGGTTTCAGACAAATCCAGTGGAATCTTCGGGACATGGCTGTTGCTTTAAAAACACCTGATTCCAAATAGCTCCAGTCATTTCTTCAGGTGATTTATAAATTTTGTGGCTGGTATTAGTGACTGCTTTATGTATTTTCACAGGTAAGATCCAGGAGGTGATCCTCCAGGAACACCTGGAAAAGGAGGATGAGGTACTGGTGTCACTGGCTGGACTCAAACAGGTGAGCTTGAGCATGCATACTGAATTAACATTAATGCTCATCTGTTTCTGTAACTAATTCTCTTGGTGGCTTCTGTTCCTGTCAGATCAAAGACATCTTGAAGGGGGAGCTGCGCTTCAACCAGAGCCTGCTGGAGGCCGAGGAGAACGAGGAGATAACCATCGCTGATGATCACTACACATCCACAGCAACTGCTGAAACTGCTCTAAGCGCCAGCACTCATCACAACGACCAGTTACAACAACACGGCAGCAGCACACAGAGCCGGGACTCTGATCAGGACGGGAGCCTGAGCATGGATGAGAAAGAAGAAGAGGAGGAGCAGTCGATGACCCCACTTGAGCAACAGGTTCATAGTCTTCCAGACTACCAAAGAAAAAGCCCCACACTGTGAAGAGTCATATTGGTATTAACTATATTTTAACATAAATTGTGCCTTGTGTGCAAAAAATGATCCAGTGTCTCTATATTTTATTTTATTTTATTTTTTTGCAATATTAAACATGACGCAATCTGTCCCACTTGGCATGAATCAACCCCAGAACGATTCTGCATATTACAGCAAGTGCATAATGAAAATGCTGAGTCGTATGTTCCCTGATGTTCAAGTGTTATTGCATTTAAATACATTGAGTTTTAGGGGTAGACAAGCAGAGGACAGTTGTTACACAGCCTTGGTTAATGTAAACAGCCTTTACCCATCTCAATCACACGTGTGCAGGTGGGGACTTCCCTCAGCTCAGAGGGTAAGAACTGGGACGACTATATCCTCGTATCCCAGGATGGAGACCTGCAAGCCACCGAAGGAGGAGGAAGAAGGGCTGCGGCCGAGCACACCGCTCCAACCAGGCGAGGTCGCGGCTTTGTGCGATTGGAGCCTGAGCGTACAGCTGGGACCTTCCACGACCCGCTGACAACTGGCACCACTTCAGGCTCCTCCAGCCCAGACGAGGGCTCCACCCACAGCAAGGACTCTGATTTCACCATTGTTAACCCCAATGACCTGTGAGAGAGCACATCACCCCTGTCGTCGTTGTCGTCATCCTCTTCCTCCTCCTCCTCTTCTTATATATTGATCAAGTCCCATTCAGTGGGTGTGATGAAAGAAAACTGATCTGGTATCTGAGGGGGGAATCTGCAATTTTTGGCAGAGCACCACCTGATCTGCTCTTGGCTAAAACATTGATTGTACATCTGGACTGTGACACTTCCAGTCACAAATACCTTATACCCTGTGTCATTAACTGTCATCTGTGCCACCTTGGTCCTGTCTGAGCTGATGCTGTATACTCTCATATACACAACGCCTGTCTCCTCATCATGTAGGATCCTGTCACTCATGAATAGTAGTGCCCTGTCCTGCAGAGAAAGGGTGCCAGTGTACCCACATCACTACATGGTTATTCTTTGAGTTGGACCTCAAACTGCAATTTACTTTCT